AGAAATCCAGAGATGGCAGTATCACTGACAAGATCATAATGAGACAAGTCAAGTTGAACAAGAAATCACCAGTCGGTTAGTGCCTTACAATAGATATTTGCTGCGACAATTCAACTGTAATATCAATGTTTAAAACTGCTTATCAATTCATTCAATAAAGTATTGCATCAAATGCATATCATATCGCCAAGCCTACGATTGCGTCGAGCCTGTCGCCTCTGAGTGTTGATTTCAATGTTCACTTTTATATTTACACACGCTCTATCTCTGATATCAAGCACATTATCTCATAAATGTAGCACACCATAAAACTATTTTTCTTCATATATATATATATATATATATATATATATATATATGTATGTGTGTGTCTTCTTTTGGTGGTGTATGTCCACACGATTTATATATACGTTTCGATATTGAGTATATTTCCCATATAAATATCGCAAATCTTGACAATACTCGCACACACACACACACACACACACACACACACACACACATATATATATATATATATATATATATATATATATATAACTACTAACATACAGATGGAGAACTGCGGGTACGAAATAATGCGTGAAATAAGCACAGTCAATGGTCCACGGATGACACTAAGTAATTTAGCAGACACACAGAATGATCAGGATATTTTATTTCGTTCCTGTTTAGATTTTCAAATCTGGGTTTGTCTCGAAACGTTATTTAACATCTGACCCCCGAAAAAACACGTACATTTTCATTTGCACTCTATCTAGAACCTTAAATATGAAATGCGACACTCATACAAGAGCGATGATCTCTTTGCTTGAAACAAGTACAAAATTACAAACTTTTTAATATTTTTGTACACATATATATTGTTTAAAAATAAGAAACAATAACGAAATTCATGAAAATATAATTAGATTTTATTTATCTTGAAGGAAATGTGATAATTCCAATTTTCAAGCTTATCTTTTCTCTTAATCAAGTTCACAGCCTTTCATCCAAGTGTGAATATTTCAGAATAATTGTGTGAAAAATGTTTTTTTTTATTATTTTAATATTCCATTCGTTTGTTTTTAGTTATTTATGGACTACTTTTCAGTGAGAAGCATATGCTAAACAGACGCACATTTATTTGCTGTAAAAGAATAAGGCTAACTGAAGTTTTAAAAGAATTGCTTTACCTAAGGTTTAAAAGTAATGACAGTACGTCAGATTTCAAAAAATGATGACCCGTAGGATTATAAAGGAATAACAGTACGCCAGGTTTAAAGGGAATGAGGATACGTACTTTTTAAATGAATGACAACATGTAAGGTTTAAAACGAAATGATGTTACGTAATGCTTAAAAGAAATGATGGTACGAAATGTTTCAAACGAATGATGATGCGAAATAATAGTTTAGCAGACAATTATTTTTAGAGAAGTGTATTTCTACTCTGACTTCTTCAGTTTGACCTTAAAAGTCAGATACATGACAAAATAAAGGAAGTCGATTTTCATTGGCTGGACTAGCGTAGTAATAGTAGATAGGAAAAGGTTTTTTGGGGAGTTGGTTCTTACACATCGATCAATTGTAGACGTGTTCTTTCATCTCTGGATCTGCCCCCTCCGCAATGTGGTAAGAGAGCCATCTCACTGGACATTTAGAAATGTACATGTCGACGTGTTTAATAAACTATTTAAGTTTCAAATTACCCTTTCTTGATATCTTTCACCTCTGGGCTCAAAACGACTAGCGATTACCGACTGTGAAAGAAAGCAACGTTATTATTGCATCGACACCGTCGCCCAAGACCAAAGGAGCATGCAACAATGTTACGTAATTTTTAAATTGAATTACGGTATTGAAGCATTAAAATGAATGATATACGTATGGTTTAAAAGGAATTATGGTACGTATGGTACACTGATGCCCAAAGAATAATTGTCAACGTACGCTATAAATATTTGCTTATTCAAAAGGTGTTTTATGAAAGAAATTAAAGATAGTGCACATGATACCATCCTTTTGATGTCTTAGTTATCGGAATCGATACAGCTGTTTGATCGCTGCACGAGCGCATATTCTAGAACAACATGGCAGCAAATGACTGGAACTACGCTTGTACATTTGACAAAAAAGTCATTATCCCCACGAAATGAGTTCCCAGATGAAATACATTAAAAAATAAGTTGAATACAAGTCAGGGTTATGTAGTTAATGTGATAGAAAATTTCAAGCATATCGCTAGAAAGAATTTTTAATCACGTCTGGTCGTGTCTTAAGCAGTTCCGTCTTGCCAGTTCTCTAACACCACGCACTTACACTATACCTGATTGCCAAATTCTATTCAAATAGTCGATGGATAAGGACATCAGCAGTCACAACTGGGAGCAACAAAATGAAACCTTAGTGCCAGAACGTCACAGAAGGGAAAATGTAAATGGTAAACAGGAATAATCTTCCAAAGAGAAAGAAAATAGAATAGACAACTATTTACGGTTCTATTACCAGCGTAAATTCAAAAAGCCTATTTTGACTCAAGTTCCGCTCAATCGATTTTGAGGCTCAGTTTGAGCTATAAATTTGCAAAGCTTTACATGAGTTCATCGAAGACACCGATACGTACACGCGTAATACAAAACGTGATACAAACTTTAAGATCTGTCTATATTTCTGAGATGTGTTAGTATATACACTGTTTACATTATTCGGACTATTGTCCTCATCTTTGTCGCCATATTTATTACTACGTTTTGGACACACAGCACTGTCCATATATTTTTCTTTTAGGTTCGGGTCGCTCAGGTGTTTACTGCATTGCAATTTGGGTGCTGCGTTAGGCTTCTTTAGTTCCCGTAGATTCAATCTTAGTTTACATATAACTGGGCGATGGTCGTTTCCGCAGTCGGCACTTGGATGCTCCATGTCTATAATCGTCTAGGATGTTCTTGGAACCATGTGTTGGTTATTACCTGAACATTAGCCGGGGTATTATGTACAAGATTTACATCATTCGAACTATTGTCCTCATCTTTGTTGCCATATTTATCACAACGTTTCGGCCGTTGTACGCTCCGGCCTTCTTCAGATGGTTGGAATGTCTACCTCAGCGAGCTAAATAAAGGGTTCAGTTCGACATTTCATCAACCTGAAGAAGACCGAAGCGTACAACGGCCAAAACTTTGTGATAAGTATGGCAATAAAGATGAGGACAATAGTCCGAATAATGTAAATAGTGTACAAAATTAAAGTTTTCGTGAGCAGCTTTCTTCGGACTGTCAAGTTTATCGCAGTATTTTACTGCAATAACTGCCTGATTATGAACTTTAAAATCTTCAGGCATTACACGTTCTTCATGCCAGAACGGAAATGCGATTAACTTTTAAGGTAAAATCTCACTTTTTATGTGCCAGTGATGATGAAAGTTTCCATAATGTAAAAGCAACCGTTGTATCCGGAATATTGTGATAGATGCAGGTCAAATCATGTTACCATTTGTTCCAGAATGTTTCAACCGGTACTACCGGTATTCATTTATTTGTTTTAGGAAACAAGGAAATTACTCTTTCCGATATTCAAAATTCTCATTGAGAACTCCATGGACACCAGAGATCGGAAGAGAATCTTCTCCAGCCATATCATGATGTCTTTGTTGTTTATGACATTTAATAAAAACTCCAAGACGCATTATCATGCTGAGAGATTTCAACCGGCAACAGACATTTCTAAAGAAATTCAGTAAATGTCAGTATTTTAAGCTGATACATCGCAAATGACCAAAATTCTGTTGGAAGGGGATCTTTTTATCGCGATACCTTCACTATTTACATTATTCGGACTATTGTTCTCATCCTTGTCGCCATATTTATTACCACATTTCGGCCGTTGTACGCTCCGGTCTTCTTCAGGTGGTTGGAATGTCGAACTGAACCCTTTATTTAAAAGGACACAAGGCACAGTGGATAAAGGCGTTGGTTAAATCCAGTGACAGGACCCAAAGAGTGTGAGTTCAATACCCGTTTAAGGCAGTGGAGAACTTGGAGACGGGAAATAACATGAGATAACTAACAACTGGCATCCATTAAACATGGCACATGGAACTAGAACAGTCTACCTGAAGAAGGCCGGAGCGTACAACGGCCGAAATGTGGTAAAAATTATGGTGACTATGATGAGGACAATAGTCCGAATAATGTAAATAGTGTACATAATAACTCATCTCAGAAATATAGACAGTACATTAGAAGATTATTCATGAAGACACTAGGTAATGATTGAAATGGCATTTAAATGTTCGAAGTTGGCTGGAAAGTCTGAAGCCGGAAGAGAATTCTACGGGCGAGAAAATAAACTGTTAGCATAGAACTTACGGTTGCATCTAGCCAATTCATCTTTAAAATGAGGAGAACCTGTTCCCAATTTCGTACTGCACTTAAATTCATAAAGTCTAGGGACTATAGAGGAAAGTTATATTTATTCTGTTTAATACAGAAATGTGGCACAAGGCCGAAAAGGGGATTGGGGAAAGGACGGTCTTCTTTTGTCTTAACTATAACACATTCATACGTACCTTTCTTACTACAACCACCATAATACTTCTTTGTCTCTATGAAAATACTAACTAATCCCTATATTTATAATTCATTGTCTGTGGGGGGAGGGGAATAAAACAACAATTCTAAAAAGTAGCCCCATAGCGGTAAGTTCATCCAAACAATTAACATGAATGTATTTATAGAAAAAGTATAGGGAAGCTACTAACGGTAGTTCGAAAGTTACTAAACAGATACGAAACTACCACTTAATGCAATAAGCATGACTTTCTTTTATTCATTAAAAAAATAAATAAATGTTATTTTTTTTCGGGAGAGAATCTTTCTTAAGTCATTTTTACAGTATAACCTTCTGCCAGTTTATTTCTGAATTCTTTCGAAGAAATATTATTCGAGCTTTCTTAAAATTACGCATTCATTTGTCGACTAATTTCAGCATATCTTCTGACAGATGAATATTTAATATCAGATGTTCGGTGTCTCGCCTTTTTTCTCGCTGATCACATCGATAACCCCCGGAATTTATGAAGTCAGTTCATATAACAATGGTTAAAAGCCGAAGGTGTGAACTATCATTTTTTTAAATTTGTAACACCGATAATTTTCTTTGGACCATATTTATAATTCATCCGTTCGTTGATGACACTATAACGATGAGTATCCAACAAGAGTCAACAATTCCAACTAGTCAATAATATGATATCTCAAAATGACTTTCTCACAAATGCCTTTTGCCTAAATGTACTGTGTATCTTCTGGATGGGCTCTCCAAAATGTTTTATACTATGTAGATATTAAAATATTCGTATTTTTATTATCCTTGCAACTGCCTTTTCTATCATCCAATTACAAAACTCATTAGATAAGTGATTCCGTGTTTCTTTTTGTTCCTCTTCTCTTTAATAAGTCTTGTGAGTGCCATTTTTCTAAACTTCTTTTCTCATTAGATGCCTCAGAAATGTCAACTGCTTCTTACTGATTTTAAGGAAAAGTATATTTTTCTTGTAATTTTCCTTAAAACTTCCTCGTTATTCACATGATCAGCCCATGGTTTTTTCAGCATCTTTATTTATAAACACATATGTGTCCTCAAGTTTTCCAGTCATATGTTAGGAAATTGTTCAGCATTCAATGCCGTACAGCAGAATTGATATTATACAGCATTTAGCAAACGTTTCTAAGTCGGGTTTAATTAGCTTATAAATGAAGATTAATTAAACCAAAGGAAATTTACCTCAGATGCTTTCATTTTTAAATTAGGCAATGCCAAGATATTTTACAGAAGATGACAACCTTGCCTTTATATTTTTGAAGATCGTGGTCGACAAGAAAGCAAGAAAATGGAAAGAATAGACAGGTGAGGCGGGCTAGAGAAGATATCGTTAGAACTGAACTTACATTTACAACAGTAAAATAATGAAACCTACTTCCTTATGTCCAGTGTCCCTTCGAGACGTAGGAGTAGGCTCTCCACAACTCTTTCCCCTTGTTGTTTTTCCTAAAATGTATCTTTCTCTTATTTCTCTTAAGTCCTATTCGTCCTTGAATTTACTGAATGTCACTAAGTATGGTATGCGTTGTATTCATCCGTCCCTTGAGTATCAGATTCTCCAAGCTTTCTTTCCTCATTAGGTTCTCCAGAAACCTCTACTGTTTCTTCTTCATTTTAGATATTAGTTTCCTTTTTGTTTTCATTTTCTCCGAAAGTTCGTCTTTGTTCTTGTCATTTTTTCCTCAGTACTATTCTGTAGAACAACATTATTGTTGTTTCAAGTCACCCGTCCATCTCTGAGGACATCGCCCATCACTCAGTGCCATGCAAGAGGACATATATCACGTAGCAGTTTAGTATTCGTTTACTATTTTCTAGCAAACTTTTAAACAACCAATTTCTTACTAAGCTTAAATAACTGAAGTCGAGATACCAAAGAGGAGAGGTCATCAGAACAAAGAGGAAAGGTCACCAAAACGAAGAGGAGAGGTCACTGGAACGAAGAAGAAAGGTCACCAAAACGAAGAGGAGAAGTCACCAGAACGAAGAGGATAGGTCACCAGAACGAAGAGGAAATGTCTCCATAACGAAGAGGAGAGGTCATCAGAACGAAGAGGAGAGGTCATCAGAACGAAGAGGAGAGGTCACCAACACGAAGAGGTCACCAGAACGAAGAGGAGAGGTCACTAGAACGAGAGGTCACCAGAACGAAGAGGAGAGGTCATCAGAACGAAGAGGAGAGGTCACCAACACGAAGAGGAGAGGTCACCAGAACGAAGAGGAAAGGTCATCAGAACGAAGAGGAGAGGTCACCAACACGAAGAGGAGAGGTCACCAGAACGAAGAGGAGAGGTCACTAGAACAAGAGGTCACCAGAACGAAGAGGAAAGGTCTCCAGAACGAATAGGAGAGGTCATCGTCAGCAGAACGAAGAGGAGAAGTCATCAGAACGGAGAGGTCACCAACACGAAGAGGAGAGGTCTCCAGAACGAAGAGGAGAGGTCACCAGAACAAAGAGGAAATGTCTCCATAACGAAGAGGAGAGGTCACCAACACGAAGAGGAGAGGTCACCAGAACGAAGAGGAAATGTCTCTATAACGAAGAGGAGAGGTCACCAACACGAAGAGGAGTGGTCACCAGAACGAAGAGGAGAGGTCATGAGAACGAAGAGGAGAGGTCACCAACACGAAGAGAAGAGGTCAACAGAAAGAGTGGTCATTAGAAGAGGAGAGGTCACCGAAGAACGAACGAAGAGGAGAGGTCACCAAAACAGGTCGAAGAGAACGAAGAGGAGAGGTCACCAGAACGAAGAGGAAGTCATTAAAGGAGAGGTCACACGAAGAGGAGAGAACGAAGAGGAGAGGTCACCAGAACGAAGAGGAGAAGTCACCAGAACGAAGAGGAGAGGTCAAACCAGAAACGAACGAAGGGAGAAGTCACCAGAACGAAGAGGAGAGGTCATCGTCAGAACGAAGAGGAGAGGCAGAACGAACGAAGAGAAGAGGTAAACGAAGAGGAGAGGTCAGAACAAGAGGAGAGAGGTCACCAGAACGAAGAGGAAATGTCTCCATAACGAAGAGGAGAGGTCACCAACACGAAGAGGAGAGGTCACCAGAACGAAGAGGAAATGTCCATCGAAGAGAAGAGGTCAAGAACGAAGAGGAGAGGTCACCAACGAAGAGGAGAGGTCACCAACACGAAGAGGAGAGGTCACTAGAACGAAGAGGAGAACCGAAGAGGAGAGGTAGAACGAAGAGGAGGTCACGAGGAGAGAAGTGGTCACCAGAACGAAGAGGAGGGTCACCAGAACGAAGAGGAGAGGTCACCTAAACGAAGAGGAGTGGTCACCAGAACGAAGAGGAGTGGTCACCAACACGAAGAGGAGAGGTCACCCGAAGAGGACCAAAATGTCTCCATAACGAAGAGGAGAGGTCACCAACCGAAGAGGAGAGGTCACCAGAACGAAGAGAAAATGTCTCCATAACGAAGAGGAGAGGTCACCAACACGAAGAGGGAATATCGAAGAGGAGGTGTCGAAGAGGAGAGGTCAACGCGAAGAGGAAATGTTCCATAACGAAGAGGAGAGGTCACCAGAACGAAGAGGAGAGTCACCAGAACGAAGAGGAAATGTCTCCATAACGAAAGAGGAGAGGTCACCAGAACGAAGAGGAGAGGTCACCAGAACGAAGAGGAAATATTCCATAACGAAGAGGAGAGGTCACCAGAACTAAGAGGAGAAGTCATCAGAACGAAGAGCAGAGGTCAGAACACGAAGAGGAGAGGTCAACAGAACGAAGAGGTCATCAGAACGGAAGAGGAGAGGTCACCAACACGAAGAGAGGTCACCAGAACGAAGAGGAGAGGTCATGAGAACGAAGAGGAGAGGTCACCAACACGAAGAGAAGAGGTCAACAGAACGAAGAGGAGTGGTCATTAGAACGAAGAGGAGAGGTCACCTAAACGAAGAGGAGAGGTCACTAGAACGAAGAGGAGAGGTCACCAAAACGAAGAGGAAAGGTCACCAACACGAAGAGGAGAGGTCATTAGAACGAAGAGGAGAGGTCACCAGAACGAAGAGGAGAGGTCATTAGAACGAAGAGGAGAGGTCACCAAAACGAAAGAGGAAAGGTCACCAGAACGAAGAGGAGAAGTCACCAGAACGAAGAGGAAAGGTCTCAAAAACGAAGAGGAGAGGTCACTGGAACGAAGAAGAAAGGTCATCAAACGAAGAGGAGAAGTCACCAGGAACGAAGAGGATAGGGTCACCAGAACGAAGAGGAAATGTTCCATAACGAAGAGGAGAGGTCATCAGAACGAAGAGGAGAGGTCATCAGAACGAAGAGGAGAGGTCACCAACACGAAGAGGTCACCAGGAACGAAGAGGAGAGGTCAGAACAGAACGAAGAGGAGAGGTCATCAGAACGAAGAGGAGAGGTCATCAGAACGAAGAGAGAGGTCACCAGAACGAAGAGGAGAGGTCATCAGAACGAAGAGGAGAGGTCACTAGAACGAAGAGGAGAGGTCACCAGAACGAAGAGGAGAGGTCAGAACCTAGAACAAGAGGAAGAAGAAGAGAAGGTCACCAGAACGAAGAGGAAAGGAGAGGAGAGAGGTCGTCAGCAGAACGAAGAGGAGAAGTCATCAGAACGGAGAGGGTACCAACACGAAGAGGAGAGGTCTCCAGAACGAAGAGGAGAACAGAACAAAGAGGAAATGTCTCCATAACGAAGAGGAGAGGTCACCAACACGAAGAGGAGAGGTCACCAGAACGAAGAGGAAAATATAACGAAGAGGAGAGGTCACCAACACGAAGAGGAGGGTCACCAGAACGAAGAGGAGAGGTGAGAACGAAGAGGAGACCAACACGAAGAGAAGAGGTCAACAGAACGAAGAGGAGGGAAGAACGAAGAGGAGAGGTCTAAAACGAAGAGGAGATAGAACGAAGAGGAGAGGTCACCAAAACGAAGAGGAAAAGGTCACCAACACCATTAGAACGAAGAGGAGAGGTCATTAGAACGAAGAGGAGAGGTCACCAAAACGAAGAGGAAAGGTCACCAGAACGAAGAGGAGAAGTCACCAGAACGAAGAGGAGAGGTCACCAGAACGAATAGGAGAAGTCATCAGAACGAAGAGGAGAGGTCACCAACACGAAGAGGAGAGGTCACCAGAACCAAGAGGAGAGGTCATCAGAACGAAGAGAAGAGGTCATAAACGAAGAGGAGAACCAAGAGAACCGAAGAGGAGAGGTCACCAGAACGAAGAGGAAATGTTCCATAACGAAGAGGAGAGGTCACCGAAACACGAGGGAAGAGGAGAGGTCACAGAACGAAGAGGAAAGAACGAAGAGAAGAGGTCACCAGAACGAAGAGGAGAGGTCACCAGAACGAAGAGGAGAGGTCACCAACACGAAGAGGAGAGGTCACTAGAACGAAGAGGAGAGGTCACCTAAACGAAGAGGAGAGGTCATTAGAACGAAGAGGAGAGGTCACCTAAACGAAGAGGAGAGGTCACTAGAGCGAAGAGGAGTGGTCACCAGAACGAAGAGGAGTGGTCACCAGAACGAAGAGGAGAGGTCACCTAAACGAAGAGGAGTGGTCACCAGAACGAAGAGGAGTGGTCACCAACACGAAGAGGAGAGGTCACCAGAACGAAGAGGAAATGTCTCCATAACGAAGAGGAGAGGTCACCAACACGAAGAGGAGAGGTCACCAGAACGAAGAGAAAATGTCTCCATAACGAAGAGGAGAGGTCACCAACACGAAGAGGAGTGGTCACCAACGCGAAGAGGAAATGTCTCCATAACGAAGAGGAGAGGTCACCAGAACGAAGAGGAGAGGTCACCAGAACGAAGAGGAAATGTCTCCATAACGAAGAGGAGAGGTCACCAGAACGAAGAGGAGAGGTCACCAGAACGAAGAGGAAATATCTCCATAACGAAGAGGAGAGGTCACCAGAACTAAGAGGAGAAGTCATCAGAACGAAGAGCAGAGGTCACGAACACGAAGAGGAGAGGTCACCAGAACGAAGAGAGGTCATCAGAACGAAGAGGAGAGGTCACCAACACGAAGAGGAGAGGTCACCAGAACGAAGAGGAGAGGTCACTAGAACGAGAGGTCACCAGAACGAAGAGGAAAGGTCTCCAGAACGAATAGGAGAGGTCAGCGTCATCAGAACGAAGAGGAGAAGTCATCAGAACGTAGAGGTCACCAACACGAAGAGGAGAGGTCTCCAGAACGAAGAGGAGAAGTCACCAGAACGAAGAGGAGAGGTCACTAGAACGAAGAGGAGAGGTCACCAAAACGAAAAGGTGAGGTCACCAGAACGAAGAGGAGAGGTCACCAGAACGAAGAGAAATCATCAGAACGAAGAGGAAAGGTCTACAGAACGAAGAGGAGAGGTCACTAGAACGAAAAGTAGAAGTCACCAGAAGGAGGAGGTGATGTCATCAAAAAATTATTAATATATTTTTAAAAGAAAATCAGCAGGAAGTTACGTTACAAATTCAGAATTGAGGATGAATCCAAGAAGCCAGATCATGATCAAAAACATTGCACATTCTTCATTGGATTTTTAAAGTATCTAGAGATACATCAGAAGCTCCAGACCAGTTGTGTTACAATGGGCGGACAAATCGTAGACTTATAAATGTGCAAGATAGATTTGTCTGAGAAACACCGTCTAGCACCGTGAACCAAATTTCGTAACAGGCTTAGTGTTATGGTAATTTACCCACGCACGCATGGACAGTCTCAGCTATAAATAAGAGCAGGTACTGGCTTTTGAGAGTAGTCAGTTCTGACAGTCAGACCGAACATTCTTGCTGTAACACTCTTGTTTATATATGTTTGTATTACTGTTTCTGTTAATATATTTGTTTAACACAATTCCTCTCTTTGTGTCTTTATTTCTGGTCCTAACATGGCCACAAGATGATGTAATTGTGAATTTATATGATATATAACTGCGTCATGTCCATTACATTTTGCCCCGTTCAAATCATCATATCTCAGTCTGTTTATATCTATCTATCTGTCTATATATATATATATATATATATATATATATATATATATATATATATATATATATATATATATATATATATATGTCTGTCTGCCTGTTATGGTAATTTACCCACGCACACATAGACTCTGCCAGCTGTAAATAGAAGCAGGTACTGCCATTTGGAGAGGGGAGATTCGAGCAGTCAGCTTTGACTGTAACTCTCTCGTTTGAATCTGTTTGTATTACTGTTTCTGTTAATATATTTGTTTAACTCAGTTCATCTGTTTGTGTCTTTATTTCTGGCCACAACATTAGAAACTGATTCATATCAGTGGAAGTTCCACTTCATTTCAGTGGAAAGTATTGAATTATGGATATCGTTACGATTATTATTTTTATTAGTAGTATTAGTAGAAATTGTTGTTCTGGTTCTGTATTGACTGGTAACTTTGATGTCCTTTGAGAAAGCTAACCGCATCAAATTTATCCCTTTCAATCATCAGCTCAAATAGGCTATAGTTGACATGATTTCTCTGCTGGTGGACTTACCACTGAAGCCACTGCGAACGGGAAGGGAGACAAGGAAACGTTTGAGAATGAAAGTCGCACAGATGAAAAGGCAAAGTTGAAATATCCGCCATGCCCCAAAAGAAAATTGTCTAAAGCGAGATAAAACGGCGATTTGTTCTTCTGCAACGTGGCTGATATCGACGAGCTTCTTTGGACTAATGTTGATCTCAATGTTTCGGGTTTCAAACTGAAATTCTGGAGCTGTAAATCCTCAAGGTTGTATACTCGTTATAAACTCCTTGCAGCCATACATAGGAACAGAACCTGCGAACACTTTTCTTGGAATCAGTGGAATCGGAAAATATTCGCTTATTTTGTAACTACACCAGAACGTTCTCCGGAATTCATACATTTTCAGTCAAACCTACAATCTGAATTCCCATTGTTTCATGATTCATCTAATTCTATCTGTTGTAGCGTACCTACGGACGAT